GTAAGCCAAGCGCCTGGGTTTAGGGCTTAGGGTTTAGGGTTTAGGAGTTAGGGTTTAGGGTTTAGGATTTAGGGTTTAGAGGTTTAGTGGTTAAGGGGTTTAGGGTAGGGTATGATAAGATTACAGCAATGTAGGAAGAATGAGAAGAATAGAAAGTAAGTATAGTGACAGGAATGAGTATAACAATGTAATAATAACAACCATAATGAAAGTACTGGTGATCCAAAAACAAGGCTGGGAAAGCACTCTGCCAGCGCATGTTTGGCAGTAAGACTCTGACATCTGCATCCTTGCCTGCTGCATCATTGACGTGTGGCAACCGCCTACCTCCGGCAAAGCTTGCAGGCGCTGTGGTCGGAGACAATTTCTAAAACCAGGCATCCGGCTAGCTGGAGTTGCTGGACCTGGCTATGGCTTCAATCTCAAGACGGTTGCAAGGCTGCTCCGGAAGCCTGTTTGCAGCCCTTAGTGCTCCGAGCCCGCTGGAGCAAACGCTCGACAGACGCGGCAGACCCAGCACAAACAAAGCCTGCCAGGGCATCACTTAGTATCTTACAATCATCATGGCAGCATGCCCTGGCCGTCAGCAAACAGTCGTTGCGCGAGGCCACAAACCTCTCCCTGCCTCAGTATACAGGGCATCCATACGAATGAAACGGAAGCGTTCAAAAGCACGCAGACTGCGCCAAGATGCTCTCTGCACTGGCTGCAAAGTTCTTCCAAGGTGTCCTGGCGTTAGCTCATGTCAGTACTCGTTGCAGGTGAAAACGCAAAGAAAGTCGTTCAGTCCTGGGTGAGACCTGCTACAGCCAGGGCTGCTTGAGGCTCGTCCAGCATTGCTGCCTGGACTGGCAAGATCAGGAGGAAATCACTGCCCTGACTCCCAATCTAATGTGGTAGTTTCCCTAATAAATCAGGGACGCCGATACAAACTCAGAAATAGTGCTGTAGTCGAATTTTTATGAGGACCCCCAAAATGGTACCCTCAATTTTGGGAAACTCCCATGTGGCTCAACACAAACAAGGACAGGATCACGTCGCCTCCATGAGCTCTCCTCGGAGTTGTACGGCCCGAAGGCCAGTCTCGAAGTCCCAAACATCAGCAAAAGTCAGCGCGGCCTGCGTACTCACCATGTAGCTAATGGACCTCTTCAGCCAGAGATCTGGCAATTTCCCAAAATAGGGTACCCCAGTGTAAACTACCAGATAGTATAGTCTTGGTTGTTGAGTTTTTTGATGCATCAAAAACCCCACTAACTTAGCATAGTCCCCCTTAAGGAGATAGAATATGGGGTATATGGGGATCATAACATACCCAAAGCCAAATTCTAGCTACTTAAGAGGGACTATACCCCTAACTTTGGGACACCCCCATCTCAAGATCAGCCAAGGCGCAAAGTCTCCTAGGGACAGCCCAGCCACTGCCTTGCAACGCTCCAGAGAAGCCGGCCTCTTGTCCTGCGATATTCAGAACAGGTTTAGGGTTTAGGGGTTAGGCTTTAGGGTTAAGGGTTATTCAAGAATCAGGCTGGCCTTTGGCTAGCTGGGAATGAAAGAATGGAAAGAAAATGGAAACTATTACAATTGGTATGCAGGAGCTACTATGAAGATCCATTCCTTCATTCCTAGCTAACCACAGGAGGGACGCGCAACACATCCCAGTCCCGGAGCTTTTCCACAGCTGCAAGCTGGGTGATGTACATGACCGGCTGACCTGGGCTCCGCCGACGCAGATTTTCAACGATGTGAGCTCCAGAGAGCACATGCTGAAGATGGAGCAGTACTGAGTGTGTTCAAGCCAGCCTGACAAGCATCAAGCAATGAAAACTACTATATTATATTGGAATTGTATTTGGATAATGGAAAATAAAATGGAAAGTGGGATATATCATGCTTCCAAAAGCTGGAGTTAGTGGCTGTCATTGGCTACTGAGGGCCTTCAGGACCTCGCAGGAGCTCGTAAAAGCCTTGGAAGCCTGGCCCTTCGAGCGGGTCGAAATCCAGAAGTGCCCGTGCTGTTTCCCGGAGGCGACGTGCTCCCGCAAACTCCTGACAAACAGACAAAGGCTGCGCTCTGACGACTTTGCTTCTCAGAGCAGACGGCACCTGCAAGCCTCTCAACATCTTAAGGCTCTTGGAATTCTGGTCTGGGAACAGCAGCGCCATGGGGCAGGTTGCCTCTGCACGCGAGGGCTGCCACAAACGGTGTCTGCTACAGTTTGAGGGGACACGACCCAGAGCACGGGCCTCGGCTTTGGTCTTGAAGTTGATCTTGACTCCCATGTTTGCTGCAGCGATCTCTGCGGCTGCCCTTCCCAGTGCTACCTCAGGGTCGTCAGGCTGCGGAACCTCCAGCTCCCGGGATCTGGATTTGCGCTCAGCTGCCGCTGCCACGAAAGCTGGGGCTTGCTGAATGGCTTCCATGGCAAACTCTGTGTACGCTTCCCGCTCTCTCAGTTTCTGTCTCCGCTCGGGAAGGCTCAGCTTGGCCAACTCACGCGCTTGCTGCTCAAGCTTAAGTCGCCTGGCTTCCCGTTCTATTTGCTTCTGTTCCTCCTCTTCTTGTTGCTCAGCAAGCAACTTCAAAGTGGCCTCTTCCTGTTCCTTGGCCTCTCTGGCGGCTTCTTGCACCAAAGACACGAACGTGACATCATTCCAAGGATCCAAAGGCACGTGCCCCTCAGACAGATCAGCGTCAACGGTCACCACAGATTTGCAGGCCGCCTTCACGAAGGAACGTTCACTGTCATCAGCTGGATCCCCAAAAGGATCCCACCCAGCTTCCATTGCAACGGAACTGATGCCTATTATAGGGGTGCTGCAGTGGGTGCTAAGCAGTTCTGGGGTGATGAGTGATTCTCTTTGTTAGAAGTGTAAGTCTGGGCATCTGAACGTCTTGCACTCCATTTCGAAGGTCTTGCTAAGTCAATGCTCAACTTGGTTTCGCAGAGTATCGGGATCTTGCAACAAGTAAAGGTCCACGCAAAATGCTTCGGCCGTGCGATGAGCCAGGGTGTCCTTGTTACTTGATAATCCAAAGCCTAGGAATGAAATGCTGGTGGTGCTGCTTGCGCTGTAACTAAGATGTCAAGCACGACTCTTTCTACACCTCTCAATGTCAACCCGACTATACATCCAACCAAGGCACCGCCAAAATCAATCATTGGCTGAAACCCTCATCATGATGAATCACGCTTGTGGCTATCTCATCTCCCTTGAAAATGTAAGCCACAAGACCCTGTGCGCTCGTGAGATACCTCAACCTCTCATGGAAAAGCGCGGTTTCCGAAAAGCTTGGACAATTGCTGTGTGGAAGATCCTCACGGATGGGAACATGAAATAATTTACCCAAATTAGGGGTACCTTAAAAGGGGGATATAAGGGTTTTGTAAGGGTTATATAAGTTATATAGGGAGTATGAGGATATGTAGGGTTTTGGGATTAAGGTTTAAGGCTTCCCAACATTAGGGTTAGCTTTCGGGGGTCCCCAGAATAACGCTTCCAGCATTTTGGGGGTCTATATTGGGGCCCCCCTAGTCAGGAAAGCTATCACATTGACTTTTCTGCATCGTAGAAGCGGGAGGCCTCGTGCATCGCCACGCTAGGTGAAATGCTCCCTGAACCATTTTTGCAGTATCCGCTTGTGCCCAAGCTTGCTGACTCCAGCCGCTGAGAAGAAGTGTTCCTCCAAATGTCCGTCATGGAAGTATACATCATGTATTTGCTTCAGGGAATCGAAATTAGCCACAATCTGGTCATAGTATTGCAGTAGAAATCCCGAGTCGTCGACTGATTCCAGCCAGTCGTAGATTGGCTGTAACAACAATGGGTTAACTTCGTTTGCAACAATGTCTGCTTGACTGGGCATGGCTTCTGGAACAACGCTTTCATCAGCCACACTCACCCTCGAGGTCTCCATGGAAACGGCTTCTGGAAGCAAAGGCGAATGCCCTGAGGCCCTCAAGCAGCTTGCAAATGGCAGTTCCCGGCAGAGGCCTTGCAGTGGCCTCTCATTCACCAAAAGCTCGCAAATCCATGGCGGTAGCTGTCGCGAAGTGAAGCTCGCAGGCTTTGGATCGCAAGGCTTGTTGCGTGTAAGCTTCCAAGAAATACAGTCGATTCCGTGTTTTGAATAATGCTGCTTGACATACTGAGAGAAATTTGACCAATCTGCAACACGCACTTGGTCCTGTTCTGAGCGTCGCCGCATCTGATCTGTCTGCCAAGCAAGTCTGCGCAATTCCTCCGGCGCTTCTGGGGCCTCGGGCAGAGAGGACCGGCAGGGGAAACGGGCTGGATACCGGTTGGGTAGAGCTTCCTTTGCCTCGAGCATCTCGCTATGAAATCGGAACGATGTTGAGGCGACGAGCGGCATGGAAAAACCAATGACATCACCGTCGCGCAGATGTTTAGGCTGGCCAACATCAAGGGTCTCACATGGCCCATGTGCACGTTGCAAATGGACTTGCCATCTTGGCGTCAATGCTTCCAGGCTCCACCCCTGCCGTTGAATCTTCGTCATGCGACACAATCGCTGAGGAAAACGAGCATCCAACTGCACGTGGCTGTCACGTCCAGAACCAAAACATATCACAGGAGGAGGCTCGTCTCGGGTTTTGTCATGATCTTCGCAGAAAAAGATTTCGGGCAAGTCCGATTCCTTGCATGGAATATGTATCCAGCAACCCTCCAATGGGGGATACCCGGGTTTTTCATGCCACCCAATATCATCCCAGCAAAAACTTTCGTTTCGATCGCATGGCTGGAGCTTCATGTGTTATGCGACGGTGCAAATTAAGCATGCTTGTTGATGTATGAAGATGTGTAAGCAAGCAACTGATGAGGGGTTCACGTTCCATTTTTTAATCTGGCTGACATGAGAATGTCCAATCATGGGCATGTTGCAAAACAAGGCATGTTCACCGAACACAAAGTCCCACCAAAGGCCACCTTCTACTGGAACCTGGTTTTAAGTTGAGGCATGTACAAATCTGTTGGATTAGGATTTGCATCAGAACAAGTATGCCATGTTGCTGCGGCGTTCATCTGGACATCCCCAGGAACAATATACATCTTGCACTGCTAAATCCAAATAGCAGCTGCAATTCGAAGGCGTGGCCCTAAATAATCACAAGCGCGAAACAAATTCAAAACTGCCACGGCGAAGCAACCCGGAATGCCCAGCACAGCCGCGACCTCAGCAAAAACCGGCAAAAGTGGAATGCCTCCATTGAGGGTTTGGGAAGGTGGGCGAAATAAACTGCGGCTGCTCATGCCAGGCTCTGAGCAAGAAAACAGTCAGCATGCCTGAAAGATTTGATCAGCACAACTTGCAATGCACAGCCAATCAACATCAATGTAATCCAATTTTCAAATTTGTGGGCAAAATCATGTGGAAAAAAACAACCCAAAAAAAAATGAAATCCAAATTCGCTTCGCGGACGCCTACACCAGGTGTGAATAAACATCGGCTACGGTTGCTCCGCTGACCTCTTCAACGACATTTGTACCCTCCAATTCTAAAGCATGTAACACATGATTTTGAACAACAACAACAACAATAATAATAATAATTGCTGCTGTGTACCCAGCATGTGATGCAAGCGCAGTATTCCCGCAGCCCATTTAAGTTCAGGAGGGTTTTAGGAGTACAGGTGGAGTAGGACTCCAGTGTCTCCAATACTAGACAGCATGTATAGTCAGTAGTTAATAGTTATAGTGCGCAGCTATGGTACCGTTTTTGCAAGTTGCAGGTAGTGTAGCTTTTCGGATGTTTCTGTTCGTCCTGCGTGACTTCCACAGGTATGAAAAGAATGTCCTGTGCGCGCCATAGCTCACCACTGCTCTGCCATCGCCTCAAGCAAGTGCTCAAGCAGGTGATGAGCCCAACACTGCTACTGCTCTTCTACTTTTCAGAAGCACTAGAAGGATGAAGCAAGTAGACAGCGGCAGGGCTGGAGGCCACGGAATGAATGACTTGTGCCATGAAGGTCATAGTTTTTCTAGAGACTCTGGAGGATCTGGACACGGTTTTGGTGAAGGTTTGGCATATGGGCCACGAGTTGAGTCTGGAGCGATTCCAGTTCATGGTCTTGTAGCTGGACATCCGCAGCAGTATGCTGAAGGCGATCGTTTTGGCCCGACTGAAAGGATCAACAGCAGCTGTGACACTGGCTACAGTAATATTGGCCATAATCATGTCCTTGCTTCTCAACATGTGTGATTGCCTAAGGCAATTCAGACGATGCAAGACGGCCCTCTTTTTAAGCATGCAAATCGGGCCATGGAATCTTCTGTGTGGACAGGTGGCCACATGCCAACCTGGTACAGCATAACTTGGAGATGCAAGACAAGTTGGCCACATGCCAACTGGTACACTATAACTCGGCCATGCAATGTGCAGAGAGGGCCCTTCAGGGCAATGGTACACTATAACGTGGCAATGCAATGTGCAGAGAGGGCCCTTCAGGGCAACACATCTGTGAATGCTTTGCTGAGATGGCA